ATATATATATATATATATATATATATATATATTTCAAACACAAGATAAATGCTGCAATGAATATAGCATTATTAAAGCAACAATTGGCATATAAATAACTAGTACACATATATCATCATTATTAAAGTTATTCTAGAATTTATTCATGTCACAACTTTGTATTTAACATTCAATTGATTGTACACTTGTTGGAGTCGATTCTTGACTTTGGTTTTGTTATTCTTTCTTTAAAGTATAATTATAATGTGAATATTCGTAAATGTAAGGAGTAAATCAAATAGAAACCGTTTTCTATGTTACAAACGTTATAAATCAGTATTGAACGTATGTTTTTTTAAAATTTTATAATAATCTTATTAATTATATTAATCACCTTATCAACCATTTCCATGAACTCAGTTTTTCTCATTTGAAATCACCTGATGGATGTAATGTTTTGTTGGTGAAACGAAATTATACTCAGAAGAGATCAATCTTAAGTGTTGTTTCATTGGTGAAACAATATTGTTTTATCAAAACATATCAAATGAAACAACAGTGTATTAACAAAATATATCAACATATTTGTTGTTTCATTGGTTAAATAAAACTACTGTTGTTTCAAAAGCAAAATAATAATTAAGTTTTTTTTAGGAAATAGTTGATAAGGTAACTAGTATAATTAATTATATAATTACCGAAACTAAAAATGTGTGGTTAATTAATATTGGTTCATAGAGTTTATAACATATAGAAGGTTTTTATATGATTTTGGACACACACACACATATATATATATATATATATATAGATGGAGGTTCAAACGAACGAAAATGCAAAACCACTCTTACCACATGTGATAATACACATGAGGGACCTGATGGTGTGCAGACAACTTGGCCTGCGACCTTCGTCGTGCCAAAGGTTGTCCGTATCTTTAATTTAGTATCACATGTGATGGATTATAATATCACATCGTGAACACCATATCACATGTGAATAGCGTGGTCATAGTGGTGCGTGGTTGACTTGGCCTGCAAGGTCATGCCAAAGGGTCTTTGATTTAATAGCTAGTTTCACTTGTGTATCATATGTGATTAACTATATTAAAAGTATGTTCTCATTTTCATAAAATGAACATGTTTTCGTTTGAACCCTTGCATATATATATATATATATATATACACACACACGCACATAAAGTAACTGTTTATGGAAACGTATTCCTTGATCTTTTTAATGCGATTAAAAATGCTCTCCTTTTCTTGTTTATCTTGAGAAGGAAAGAAACGTCGTCTTGTGTAGGAAATACTCAAGAATGAATGCGTATAAATGATGGATGTTGAGAGGTTTTGAGTGGATGATGGTTGAGGAGATGAAAAGGGTTTAAAGAATCATAGAAAATGAAGTGAGAATATATGGGAAATAGTAGAAAGATATTTTCTAAATGGTGGCAAAAGTTGGACGAATCATTTTTTGATATGTTTTCTTTTCCCAAATGATTTTCAGTCCCCATCTTTAATTATAAATCAATCATCCATTATATATATATATATATATATATATATATATATATATATATATGCCAAAGAGAGATTTTTAAATACAAACTATGTAATTGTTATAAACCCTAAAAAACGAATATGAGCCATCAATTTGTTTATTTTGAAATCTGAAGGTACTAAATTAGTTAAAGATAAGGTTGATAGTAAATTTAGGAACCGGTTTAATCTACACCATTGATCATCTACTTGGATGGTTGAGATTGGTTTATAAGATATGTAATAATTACATGGTTTGTATTTTTAACTGATTTAAAAATATGGAAATTAGATTTATAAGGTTTGTAACAATTCAATGGTGTATATTTGAAACTTTCCCTTCTCTCTATCTATATAACTTAATGGTTTATACTTATAAAGTCTGAAATTATATATGGCTATGGAATTACGATAGATTAATAAGGATGTTTGATTAATGGTATTATGAATTAATCAGAATGAGAAAGGAAACAATTACTGCTGTTTAATTTAATATAATACAATGAGTATTATTTAAAAATAGTTAAATAAATTGGAGGAATAATTTTTTGTTTTCAACATTATTAATTTCTATCACAAGAATTTTTATAAATCGATCGAACCAAATACCTTTAATTTAATTTATTGATAAAAAAATTATAAGGGGTTGTTTGTTTATCTTTTAATAGATTCATTAAAGAGTCAATATCTGAATTGTTAAGATGTGAATCTTGTTTGAAAAAAAAGTCTGTCTTTTAATGGTTCTAAAACCCTTTGAATGATTTTGTATCATAGATCTCCCTTAACCATTAAGCGTCATAATTTCATTGTAAACAATTATCAAACAATTATATTTCATTTTGCATTATATCATGAGAGACTCTTAATCATTCTGCATTAAATAATTCAACAACTGCCAAACAATCCCTAATACATCATATATATTTATAGGAGTAAGTAAGCAGAAGGATGAAGTTTCCTAGATTGATCATTGAGAGAAAGAACGACCATTATCGACTCATAATGTCAACGAGTGTAAAGAGAGAAAATCAGACCTTTTTTTCTTATTCTTTTTTCTATTTTTATTTTGATTATGATTGCAAACAATTTTTATTCTTATTACCCGATTAAAATTCGTTCATTTAGAATCATAAGAATATGTTACTTTTTAAAAATCATATTTTATTAAAAGTAATTAACATATGTTTAAATTGTATATCGAATTTTTTTAATACCATAAATATATTAATAATAAAATGGCAAAAAAAAGTTTATACATTAAAAATTTATTTATAGTTTTAAGTACCAAGGCTAATGTAAATATATATAGTTAACCACAATGGTGATGTCTGATTGGTTTGAGCTTGGCTCCAAAGATCAAAAGTAACAGGAGGTCCCAGGTTCAAATCTAAGAAGAAATAAAAATCTCATGTGACCACGGAGGTTCAAATGCGATGACTTTGGGCTATCTGCAAAGCAGGTGGTCGTCATGAAATTAGTCGGCTCGCATAACGAATTGAATATCCAGGTTAATAAAAAAATATATAGTTATTTAAAATAAATATTTAATCTTAATCAACTTTAGATATTTAATACGCAATAAAAATACTTGTTTTTTATCAACAAATTGGTCTAAAAAAATACTAATATTTAATTGCCTTGTAATTTTCTTGACCCTCATGATTTCATTCCCCACATACTATTTTTCTACCCATTTATTGATTTCATTATTAATCATCATAGCCCACCCCCACCCCCACCAATTATTTCCCTTACCTTCTTATATTTCCTCTCTTCATAAATCCTTCATTCATTTTCATACCAACATCTTACAAATCTTTTCCAATAAATAAAGCTTTCTAAGAGATGGGATTTCATGGCGTTTCTAACAAGGGTCTCATCCTAGAATTGGGTCTTAATTCAACATCATCATCATCATCCATCCTGGAAAACAACTCCACCACCACCAAGAAGCCTTGCAGCACCCTCAGTTTTCAGCCGTCGTTGACGTTGTCTCTCTCCGGCGATCATGCCACCAAGACACCACCGCCATGTGTAGCCGGAGTCGGTGGTAATACTGGTGGCGAGCATGGCGGTGGTTTGTACCGGCAAGATAGTGTTAGTGGTGGTGGTTCATCGTTCTCCGTCGCGAGTGTGAGTGTGAAGAGGGAGAGAGAGGTTAAGAGCGAAGATTCAGAAAAGGCTTCAAGGGTTATTAGCAGAACCAGCGTTGATGATCACGAGGTTGAAGAAGACGACGATGATGGTAGTGTGAATGGTAGAAAGAAACTCAGGCTTACAAAAGCTCAATCTGCACTTCTTGAAGAAGCCTTCAAACATCACAGCACTTTGAACCCTGTATGCATATGCACTCTTCTTGTGTTTTAGGGTAATTAATTAAGGAGTAATTATTAAAACTAACGATGATTAATGTTGAATATTAGCAGAAACAAAAGCAAGAGCTTGCAAGGGAGCTAAAGTTGAGGCCCAGACAAGTTGAAGTTTGGTTTCAGAACAGAAGAGCCAGGTATTTTTGAACCTCCTATAAACGAATTTTTATTTCTTATTGGATTTGAACCTGAGACTTCCTGTCATTTTTTATCTTTGAAATCAAACTCAAATCAATCAATCACCGAAGAATCTTTATATTTCTGTATAAAATGTTCATAAAATGGTTTTTTTATTATATTTATTTTATAGTAAAAGAAATAACAATCGTTTTATTTTTAAATTTGAAATAAAACGTTTTTAGACCCGGAAAACAATAAATTTCACTTTTTTTTAATTTTTAATTTTAGAATTTATATATTTTTCGAAGGAATCTTTTTTTTTTTTTTTAATGTGAAAACGGTTATATACGTTTATCAGTCAATTTAATTAATTGCGTGTAGTTGTTTTCTTCGATACGTCGCGATATATTACGTCATAAATGAGTTTCAATGTTAGAATCCATTTAATCCCATCGGAAGTTAAATCAATTAATTTAATTTAATTATTAATTAATCAACGAAGTTTTATGAACTAATAATTTGTGTAAATGAATTGAAGGACAAAACTGAAGCAAACAGAAGTGGATTGTGAATATCTGAAGAAATGTTGCGAAGCATTGAAGGAAGAGAACAGTAGACTCCACAAAGAGCTTCAAGAGCTGAAAGCATTAAAATTGTCGGCTCATCAGTCACTGTACATGCAGTTGCCGGCGGCCACCCTCACCATGTGTCCGTCGTGTGAACGTATCGGAGACACCACTTCCTCCGCCAAGAGCCGCCCTTTTAATATGGCTCCTAAATCACACCTGTTTAATCCATTCTCTAATCCATCAGCAGCCTGTTAATTAATTAATTAGTTAATTAGTTTTTTTTAAGTGTTAATTAATCAAATATATATAGATTAATTAATCATATATAAATCAAGTAGCCTTCGATTAATTAATCATCCATGCACAACCCTCTATATCTTTTTTTAGAAGTTTAAGGGTTAGTGAAAGATTAATTAGTATTAAGTTATTTTTGTAGAAAATTATATGATTTCTTCTGCTGATTAATTATTCTATGCATCTTTTATTGTATAAAAATTATATGTTAATGAAAAAATATATATTTTTGTTTTTTTTTTTCGTGTTTGTAATCGTTTCTAATTACTCGTTTCAATTTATGTGTCGAACATTCAATAAAAACTTTACGTGACCAAATATTTTTGACGTTGAATTATTAATTAATTTTAAATATGATTAATATCGATTTAAATACGTATTTTTTTTTTGTGGTAAAATGAGACTTAAAACAACAACCACCGTTGTACGTGAGAATAGAAATATGAATGAAGCAAGTAGTTCTCAAAAAAGGGCGGTGGAAGGATGATGAAAATGATTGATGGATTTGGTGTTTTCTTATTATTTACGTGTTGATTTGTGCTTTAATTCATTATTAAGATTTAAATACACAAATGCCAATCCCTTTTATATATATATATTAACCTTGATATCCAACCTATTATGAGAACCGATTAATCTCAAGACGACTACTTGTTTTACGGATGACCTGGAGTTATTCCTTTTTAGATATTTGAACCTGTGACCTCGAGATACTTTTAATTTTTGGAATCCAAATTCATACCAATCAAGCATTATGCTTGTGATTGAATATTATATATTATTGTTAATAGGTTCAATGGATATAGTTGAGAAAAGAAGATAGCTAGAAAACAAAACACTCACAACAACCTAAAACATCATCTATTGTTTACTTTATTATTCTTTTACTATCTTGTGTTATTTTTAGTTTAGTTGAATTTTATTTATTTATTCTTGTTATAACAAAATTAGATTTGTAAGATGCTAAAGATGTTTAAATATTTATGTAGACAGTTTTATAGGATATAAGTTTATAAAACCAAACGATAAAATGTTTTATTTAAAAGTGTTGTAATAGATTTATAGAAAGTTTTTAAGCGTCTTAACAAATTTTTTACTACTTCTTAAAACTAAAGTGTCGTATTAAAAAGATGTTTTTCTATGATACTTTTTAAAAGTGTTATATAAAATAGCTAATATGATATTTTATTTTAAAAATATTCTAAAATACTTATTAAGACGTTTAAAAACGGTCATATAAACTTATTATAACACTTTTAGGTAGAATGTTTTATATGTTGGGCTTATAAACTAACAGTAAATTATCCATCCAATCTCAATCTAATAATGATTCAATGCTTGAACACTTAGAGATTCTTGCTGATTTATATTCGATTCGTTTGTTGATTAGACGGCTCCTGGGATATTAGATCATATACAACATTTTGTTAAGACACTTGAACTTTGTTGGTGTTCTACTATAAACCCGTTTTTGTTGTAATATCTTATAAATATGGATATATTGTTAGGAACTACATAAAATAATTGCTATGTAGCTTTTAATGTATGCGTATGAAACCATACAAATCGATAACAACAAAACAAAATAATATGGGATTGATTCAAGAAATGACCTCAATACGTGTCGGTGTGGCCCGATATGTACACGTGACTTACCAAATAATATGGGATTGAAAATAAGTAGTGAAAAAGTGAAAGAGGTGGTAACAATTGCAATTGTTGATAATGAAGATATTCTACAATAAATAATGAGAAAAATGAAAAGGAGATAAGAATTATATGATTAATAAGAGAGAGAGAGAGAGAGAGAAGGTTTTATGAATGAATAAGTTATTGTGGACCAAAATAGAAGGCAGCATTGACGAATTAATTTCCTCAAACCCACCTTCGACCCTCTTTCTTTCATCAACGGTCTTTTTCTTTGTTAAAGGTTATTATCAATTGATATCCATGTCATCTCTGCATCATCAATATATATATATATATATATGTGTATATATATATATATATATATATATATATATAAAGAAAGAGATGAGCGATCAAATGCAAAACATTCATATTTGTATAAACCGTGCAAACCACTATTATTAGTTGATTTCATTGTTTAATCTTATGAAATTGTTTCATATATTACTTTTTTTATGAAGTTGTTTCATGTATAATTATTAAATTGTTTTATATAATACTTATGAAATTTTAATGAAACTGTTTATATATATATATATATATAGAGAGAGAGAGCGAGAGGAGGTTTACTTTGCAAACCGAGAGTTATTTGTATAAACCGTACAAACCTCATTCAATCAATCATAATTTTTTATTTTGTTCATTTTTTTGTAGTTATGAAAAGTTGATTAGTCATTTTTATCGTGCAGGGTGTTAATCATGGATATTATTATCTTCATTATATTAATTTTAGATAAATACATGAAACAACTTCATTAAAATTTCATAAGTATTATATGAAACAATTTAATAACCAAAACAACTTCATCAAAAAAAGTAGTATATGAAACAATTTCATAAGATTAAACAATGAAATCGACGAATGAAAATGATTTATATAAGGTACAAATATAGATGATTTGCATTTGATCGTTCATTTCTCTCCCCCCCCCCCTCTCTCTCTCTCTCTCTCTATATATATATATGAACGTGAAATTAACTTGCATGTTAAGTTATGTGTCAAAGGACACGAGTCAAAAGTCAAAGCTTTGGTAATATTAGCCTGCCTAAATCCTAATACAAAATTGATATTTGACCTAAGTTTAAAAAATTTAAATGGTTAAATAAATGTTTGATGTGGGTAACATAACCAATTATTTATCTGATCTGAGATTAAATAAATAGATGTCCAACTCAATCATGAGAAAGACAACATATACGTTTATTTTTGGTAGACTAAATTACGTTTTTACTTGTAATTTTCTATTTTTGTTTTTGTAATTAATTTTTTATTTTATTGTTTATATTTCATTCTCATAATCAAAACTTTATTGCTTTTTTCATCTTTGCGTTTACAATTCATTTATGTTATAGTCTCTCATACTTAAAAATAGCATTTAATTTTAGGGACAAAAATAAAAATGAATTGCAAACCATAAGAAATGGAACCATAATTTCAAAACTACAAGGACGAAACCTAGAATTTGTAATAAACCACTGAGACGAAAAATATAATTTACTCTTTTTGGTATAATTTGTTGACTACATTTATGAATTTTCTTTTTTAGTATTGTATTTTATTTTAATTACAATAGTTTACTTTCAACTTATTTTTTATTAGGGCATTTTATTTTAAAAAATCTATCTATTATAACAACGGGTAACTTGTTACCTTTTAAACCGGTAAACTATTACTTTTTGTTGCTCACTTGGCTAAAATAAGTGATGTAAATGACACATCATTTTCATGACATAGCCAAGATAAAAGAAAACCTCTTTCAAATTATTTTTTCATGATTTTCGCTTTTCCTTTGACGAGTATAAAACATTTCATTTGTTTTAAATTTTTTCTTATTAAATTGCATGCAAATTAAATATTCTAGAGTAAAACATTTCCTAAATAAATATGATATACTATTTCCAGGATGACTATTTTGTTTGTTAAAAAAGACAATGTGTTAAAAAAGACAATGTGATAAATATGAGTAAATTTAAACCAAAAGTTTACTCAATATATAATAGGTAACTTTTTCAAAATACAATACTTTAATAAAAAATAGTTGAAAGTATATTGTTGTAATAAATAAAACTGAAAGTACAATGTTATAATAATTAAATTTATAAAAGTATATGTTATTTCATGCATTTTGCCCTAATTTGTTTACCTCTAATAAATAAAAAGTGGTTGTTGGCACATTTTCATTACACTCCGTTGATTATCTTATCTTATCCGACGATTAAATTATATAATATCACATTCATTTAGAGAGACCATTTCAAATATAAACAAATAAAATCATATACAATATGCAAATCAATCTCATGAGTCATTTTAAAAGCAATCCCACCACCGTCTTCTAATTTATTTTATGCATAATAATATGAGATATATGATATATCTCATTCGGATGAGACTTTAAAAAAAGTAAAAAAGTAAAAAAAAAAAAAAAAAAGGAAAGTTGGTAAGAAGAAGTTGTTGGGTGTGTGTATTTTGAACCGAGGAAACATAAACTTAAGAGAAAAAGTACATAAGTTGATTTTTTGTTATTGTCTGGATAATCTGTTGTTGTTTATATTTGTATCTCTATTTCTTTGTGATTCATAAGGTGGTTTATTTTACAACTTTCTTTATTTGGAAACTGGTTATAGAACCGTGTGGTTCTTTATATGAGATGATGTTATAAATCTGTTTTGATGTCAAATTTTGGTAAATTTGTGGTTTTGATACGTTTGTATCATGTGTGAAAATAAGTATGACATATTAAAGAGAGGTGTATTTGGATTATAAGGGTGACATATCAAGGAAATGTGTATAATACGATAAGGTGACAAAATTATTGAGTTATAAATATATGAGTTTTGATCAAGTGTTTATAATTATCACATCTTTATGATACGATAACTTGGGGTTGTCGCATCTGTGTGATACGTTGAAGTGTGGTTATCGCATCCTTGTGATGCGAGGAGGGAGTTTTGTATGCGACAAGTTGATTTTATTGCACCCATATAATGCGACAAGTTGGTTTATCGCACAGTATGACGCGATAAATTTATATTCTCGCACCAGTGTGTTGCGAGGACACGGGTTTGTCTCATCCATGTGATGCGAGAAATTTATATATATATATATATATTATGATGCAACAATTTTTATCCATAATGTGTTTTTCAAGTTATTTGAGTATTTGAATACAATAATAAGACTTGTTATATCAAAATGATGTATATTTATTATTATTACAAATTTAAGTTTATAAATGTGATTTGGTGATTATTCACCATGTAATTGCATAAAAAAGATTTATCACTAGACCTCAAGGTCTAACCCTAATTTTATATTTTAAAAATGTCCATTACGGGCCGGACACAACCAGTTGACAAGGGGAAGGGAAATTGTGAAGTGTTATATTATGCTTGCATGGATTATTGGGCTTGGATTATTGGGCTAGCATAATTTTCTTTTAAGTCTGAATACTTGTTATGTATTCATGTGTTGTATAGAGAGTTTAAGAAAAAAGTTGTTAGCTAATTTGTAATGTAGCTTTTGTATATATCGGGACCAAA